GTTAGTAACCGAGTACGTTCCCTATCGATACTTCACTCGTACTGCGTCTTGCTTAAGACGCTAAGGGGAACCAGTACAATCCCGCCGTGCTATGTTGACCAATGCTTGAACTTGCCTTGAGCACCAAGGGCCCAGAGGGACCAAGTAATTGCAGGGAAGCCCCACAGAAAGCAATAGGGCCAAACTCACAGAGGTCGGCCTGGAGCTAAGTAATCGTTCCCAGAAAAATTGTACAGCCTCGGAACCCAGTGGGGGCCAAGAGCGTACCGAGAAGGCAAATGCCTGATTTAGTACTGGTTTTGCTAGAGTAAGTCCATTAAGCGGAAAGGACCCGAGCTTGTAAAGCCGGAACGTCCAGATTATAAAACCTGGTAAATGTGGACGGCGAGGCCCAGCCGGCCGCCCCACAAATCTCTGCAATAGAAACTCCGCTAGACCAAGCCCAGGAAGAGGCAACGCCTCTTGTAGAGTGGGCTCTTACTCCCATGGGGCATTGAAGGCCCAAAGAAGAGTATGCTAGCTTGATAGCGTCAATAATCCATTTGGAAAGTCTCTGCTTCATGACCGGAGACCCTCTGGTGCGGTCACCGAAGCATACAAAAAGCTGATCCAACCGTCTGAACGGGGTGGAACGCTCAATGTATATCCTCAATGCCCTGACAGGGCAGAGTAGATTTAGCTCTTGGTCCTGCTCCGAAGGAGGAAGTGCCGAAAGAGCTATGACCTGTGCTCTGAACGGAGTCGAGAGCATTTTAGGTACATAACCATGCCTCGGTTTCAGGATGACCCTTGAGTCGTTGGGCCCGAATTCGAGGCAGGTAGGACTCACCGAGAGTGCCTTGCTGCTACATAGACCTTGAGCGTGGAAGGGGAATGGCCCTTATCCAACAGCTCCTCCAGGAAGGACAATATCAGAGATATGTCACAGGAAATTGGGTCTGCGCCGCGGGTCAACTCTGAACCGAGGTACAATGGTAGCTCAAATAATGGGTCAGAAGTTAGTGCTGGTGTGATATTTTTTTCACTTTTGTCTGAAAAAGGCGAGCAAGAACCAACACAGGAATGGCTTCTGAGTGTGATGGAGGAAGACACGACTGCGTGGAAGTGTAGTTTTATTAACCAAAACATTTCATTGGCATATTTCATATAGTTAATTTGCCATGTTACCTAATTATAATAACTGTATATGTAATGTATGGTTATTTTTCCCTTTCAGTGAAATGTAAATACCAGAGAAGATTCAAGTGGTGAAATTATTATAAAGCTATATGAGTCATGTCAGTTGACATTGCGGTATGTAATACACAGTGCTCTATTTAATAATATGAATGCTTGAATGCTACAGCATTAGTTATATTTTGGTTTGGACAAAAATAAATAATAAAATGAGATGCATCCTCCTGTTGCATTTCTAGCTTGATTACTTATAATTTTCTGCTTAGCCTGTTACATTTTTCATATAGGGAATGCATAGATGTTTAGGTCAAGAAAATCACCAAATGTAGGTAAAGGTTTTATGTTTTCAGAAAGCATTAGTGGTATTACATTGCTTTGGCCAAATAATTTAAAAATATATTTTTTTAATAAAACTAGAAAATAAAAAGCCATGCAAAGTCTCCCTCTAGTGGAGAAGTGTTTACAACGTCAGTTTTTTTTCTTCGGCTTTTAGACAATAGCCACAAGTATGACATAACCTATGATAGCCCCACAGGGTAAATGAAATCCTTCAGTTAGGGGAACCCCTTTCATCAGGCTCAGTGGTGGACGAATTCGGTGTGCTCCTCTTTGTGGGCTTTATCAAATCCGTCTAAACCCATGAGATTCCGTTGTACAAGTGTCATCCTATCCTCGACATAGAAAAACTGTCTACAAGAAATGTTATAACTAAATTACGAATTCTGCATATTAATAGGCCTATATATTTTAGTACGAACTTATCTCAAATTTGCAGTTGGCTATAATTAACAGAAATGTATCATGTATCAGATTCTCCTGTCGTTTTTGTCCACATTTTCCTGTCCCTTTGTTGTCTTCTAAATTGTCATAATGAGGCATTTCTTGAGCCGAGTAAACCTAGTTTTCTCAATTGGGTTGAAGTGATTTTTCTTATTATGCTATATTCCCTTTCTGTTTATACATCAGTTTCTTGCTTTTATTTATACTGTTGCACACGTTATTATTTTGCCAATAATAAAAATTACCAAAAATGAAATAAAATATAACAATGTTTAATAACTAAAATTTATTTTTATTTATTGCTATATTAATTTTTCTGTTTATTAATCGGGTTCTTTTTAAAAAGTTACTTTAATTATCCTATTGCACAGGTTAATATTTTTACAATAATTACCAAAATATTTAGTTTTCCTTTAGGGGGACTGCTTACAAAGCTGAAAACTCAACTGGGCCGCATTCAAATGACGTGGCGTTTAGTCTCGGAGACATTTGTATTATTATGGCTTAAGTGAGTTATTTCCGAGCATTTGGGCCTTTATTCGTACAAACGGGACCATACTTCAGCAATCCCTATGAAATGATTTTTAAGAATTCTCATCTAGTACTTTCAAAACGACTGTGATTGGTGAAACCTGCCTAGCGCGGAGAAAAGTAACAGGTACCACGTGAAATGGACATCGACGAGCTGCTTCAGAGGCGTCTTGTACAATTTACTTGAAAATGACATCGAAAAACTTTAATAGCCATTGAATATAATATGGATACTGAATAATTGAGTAAGATTTATTATTAGAACTCATCATTCTTGACAAAGTGTTATGCACCGCCCATGTCAGATCCTCCTGTTTCATGCTAGTCATTAAATTTCATTAGTAAATAAACATTGCCTGCGGACCATAATTGAGAATGACCAGGACCTACGTGCGTCACTGCTAGTGTGCGTCCCCGCCTTCAACTACGCATTTGTCGCCCTCCCTGCTTAATAACGTCGGACGGGTGCTTCCTAGCTCCTAGTCAAACACAGCCACTCTATCTTACCACTGTCTCCTGTGTTTTGAAGACTCGGGGATTGTACAGCTATGCGCCGCACAATATAATCTGCCATTGTTTAGTGCAGTTTTGCACGCGCTTGTGTTTACAGCATCTCACGAGCAGCGCGTGGGTATCGATTCAGTGTTAGAGCCCTTTCGCTTTCAACCATGGCAAGCGACGCGCTCCACAGATTCGTTTGCCTTTGTCGATACCTACAGGATCCCTGCCATGTCGCCAGATTTCAGCAGCTCTGCGGCGTCCGCGGGACATTTTCTAAAAAACCAGCCGAAGCTGGAGAGCGTGACGAGGAGCTTGGGGTCAACGGTGCTTGCGTGGGGCAATGTCAGGGAGACCGCGCGGCTAGTGGGGATTCAGCACACGGACTTCCGGGCCAAAGGCTGAGAAAAAGTTTAAATGCTGCTGGAAATGTTGAACAGGACGAGTGTTCCGCTGCTTTTCTCAACGGACCGTCGGGGCGAGACACAGAGAGGGACTCCAAAGGGACAGTGAAGCCTTTACGCAGGAACTCATTGACTGGTGATGTTGGCCAGGAGTTCATCATCGAGAACAAGTTTCTCTTCTATCTCTTCACAATCGGTACCGAGCTGGGCAATGAGATGTTCTTCATCGTGTTCTTCCCCTTCTTGATGTGGAACGTAGACCCTTATGTGAGCCGGCAGCTGATCGTGGTGTGGGCCTGGGTGCTGTTCCTCGGCCAGTCCACGAAAGATCTGGTCCGGTGGACCCGTCCTGCCTCTCCTCCTGTGGTCAAAGTGGAGGTGTTCTACAACACGGAGTACAGCATGCCCTCCACACACGCCATGTCCGGCACCGCGCTGCCCTTCTGTCTGTTCCTGCTCACATGCAGCCGGTGGCAGGTATGCCGCACTCTTGCTCTGTTTCCACACACAAAACCAATCGATAACCGTACCCACGTGAAGCATTTGACAGTATCCCTTGGGGTTTTAAGTTTTTTTTTCTTTACTAACTAACATTTATTTTTATATTACAAGCTATGAATTAGCACTTATTCCTAGAGTGATAAGTATCTTTTCAGTTAGCCATTAACACTCAAGTCGTTAAAAACTAGTACTTATTCCTTAACTTATACTAGTACTCATTCCTTAACTATCACTGTCCAAACAGTGAGAAGTAACTATTTTATTGTTACTGGTGACAAATTGCAAATTTTGGGTGACTCCCACTCTTACGAAAATTAACGATGGGCTTATTATAGTAAAACTGTAGTAACCATGTTTTTTTTGGTGTATTGACTACCATTTGTATAACCACAGTTTTACTACAAAAAACATGGTTAAACTATGGTTAATGTAGCAAAACCATGGTTAATTTTTGGCTGCCATGGTTTAACTATAGTAACCATGGTTTTTTGGTTTTATTTGTAGTAAAACCATGGTTAATTTTTGTAAGGGTAATGTTAGTTAATGCCTTAACTAACGTTACCTAAAAATGAGCAATACATTTGTTGCAGTGTTTATTAATCTTTGTTAACATTGTTTTATAAGAACACAACTGTTTATTGTTAGTTTATGTTATAGCTCTATTGTTACTGGTGACAAATTGCAAATTTTGGGTGACTCTTACGAAAATTAACCATGGGCTTATTATAGTAAAACTGTAGTAACCATGTTTTTTTGGTGTATTGACTACCATTTGTATAACCACAGTTTTACTACAAAAAACATGGTTAAACTATGGTTAATGTAGCAAAACCATGGTTAATTTTTGGCTGCCATGGTTTAACTATAGTAACCATGGTTTTTTGGTTTTATTTGTAGTAAAACCATGGTTAATTTTTGTAAGGGTAATGTTAGTTAATGCCTTAACTAACGTTACCTAAAAATGAGCAATACATTTGTTGCAGTGTTTATTAATCTTTGTTAACATTGTTTTATAAGAACACAACTGTTTATTGTTAGTTTATGTTATAGCTCTGGTCCCTTAAGTAATATTAACAGATACAACTACTTATAATGTATTAGTAAAGCTGAAATTATTTCATTTTAGTTCGTTAACTTATGTAGTTAACAAATGGAACCTTATTGTAAAATGTTAGCAAAGATGGCCATTGAATTTTGTGGATCTGCAGATATCAACTAGCTGTATTCCAGGTGCTATTTCCTATTCCTGTTCTAGTAGTAATTTTTCATTAGGTACTAGTACTTATTTTTTAGCTATAGTAACTATTCCAGTCGTTACCAAGATCTGAATAGACACTATTAGAAACTAGTATATAGTTTAATTGTTGCTAGTTAAAATGTAATCTTTATAAACAAACTAGTATGATTTATTTAAATTTTGAAGTAGCCATTCTGACTAGTCATTACATATGACACGTAAAAAGTAATTGTATGTAATGACATGAGAAATGCTTTAGGATTTTGGATGCAAGGGTGTTGAAATATAATGGCAAAAATTGTAATACATGATATCTGAACCTCAGATTCCCATAGAATTGCAGTTCGCAATGATACAACCCCAGCAAACATGCAATTTGTTACCAGTAACAATGGAATAATTACTTGTCACTTTTGGGACAGTAAGTAGTAGCAAAAGAAGCAGTGCCAGTGATTTAAAGGCACAATATGTAATTTTTGCCGCTAGAGGGCGCGTATTCAAAATAGACAAATAGACAAAGGTGTAGTTTGATGACGCCGTGACTGAGTGTGGAATCATGGGAGTTGTCGTCTTCATCCCCACAGCCGATGCAATCCGACAGGACTCGGGCAGAAATCATGTTCATGGATGAGCTAATGATTTATTAACGTAGTAGAATGAAGTAGGGTGAGGCTGAAAGCCGTCGAAGCGAAACGAGACCGCTGAATGAGCGCGACACATGGCTCGAAAGCAGCAGAGCTTTTATTATGCCACAGTCGACCGCTTCCGCTCCTTCCGGTCGTGCGTATGTGGGAAAAAAAAGCAGCGCTGTTTTATCATACTAGATACATTTGAAAGTTCTGTTATAATGCTACTCTGTGTGGTCGTCACTGGTCTAATATTTCTCTGGATTTAAACATTCTTCGAAACATTTGGGATAATGTAAGTACACAAGTCAGCAAAATATATAACACTGTTCTAGTAGTTTTTGGATATTTTAATAAAAAAAATCTTATATATTGTGCCTTTAACTGAATGGTTAGTAGTACTGGAAAATGTTACTATCTATACTTTTAATTTCACAATACTAATAATAAAAATAAGTGCTAGTACTGTAGAAAAAGATAAAAGTTAGGTCTAACATGTTAAGGAGGACATGCTTTTTTTGTGTGTGTTAGGTGTGCTGTATTCATTCTGAAAATCTGTCCTCATTATCAAAACCATCTGCCTTTAGCAAGCATTTTGTTTATTATGCATACGCAAGATAATAATATCCAGATGCCCAGCCTTTGAAGATTTCACTGTTTACCTAGATGTATCATTTATCTAAAGCAAATTCCTTTACAAAATGTTATTGAAGAATGATTGAAATGCTCCAAAATGCACTAATGGTTAACTAATTCAGTTATGTGTTAATTAGTTAATGAAGTTGTGCCAGCAGATCTCATTGACCGCAGCCACCATTAAAGGTGGGGTAAGCGATTTCTGGTAGCCAATGTTGACATTTGATATCACCAAAACAAACACGCTCCTACCCCAAAAGGGTCTCGCCCCTATTTTAATAGCTCCGCCCCACACATACGTACGCAACCCAGGCAACGATTAGTTCCGTGAAACAAAGAAAAAACCAATGTTACACCGTGTCTACACCAGATGCGAGTGGCGTGGCGTGACAAAATACTATAGAACTCATTATAATTAGTGATGCTGTCTACACCATATATATATACAGGTGCATCTCAATAAATTAGAATGTCGTGGAAAAGTTCATTTATTTCAGTAATTCAACTCAAATTGTGAAACTCGTGTATTAAATTAATTCAATGCACACAGACTGAAGTAGTTTAAGTCTTTGGTTCTTTTAATTGTGATGATTTTGGCTCACCTTTAACAAAAAGCCACCAATTCACTATCTCAACAAATTAGAATATGGTGACATGCCAATCAGCTAATCAACTCAAAACACCTGCAAAGGTTTCCTGA